AAAGTACAGCCGTTGCAGTTAAATTGGATTGTCAAATATAAAATCTTCTATTGATGCCAGCTCCTAAAAACAAATGCCTTATATTCTGGCAAAAAGCTTATCCGCCATTATTATACGAATGCCCATATCCCTCTTCAAGGGTGTACCACAACAAAACCAAGGAAACCAGCACTTTGTGGACTTTGCTTTATCATAATTCAACGCACTTTGGACTCCAGTTTTCGCATTTGGTTTCGGTTTCGGTTAGTTTGGTTAAAGTACTCTGTCTCTCTTTCTCTCTCTCTCTTTCTCTGTGTCCAGTAGCGCCGCACTCTGGATAGATCACAACACTCTAGGTAGGACTGCTGCTTGGACGTGAGCTGTATGCAAATTGCATAATCATCGCTTGATGGGTTGGCAGCAGTATGGTTTGGGGCATACGAGCAGTAGAGAATGAGTGCCTGATTGCTGAGTAGAGTAGAGGCTCTCTTCTCGTATCATAAAAATGCAGTTAACTTTGATGGAAGGTTCTCAGTTTCTTTGAATCTGCAAAAGGCAACACTCTGACGGGTCTGTGGAATGGGCGTTGAATAGATCATTTTGATGGTTAAAGGAAATAACAGATTGTTTCTAGGGATTGGCAATGTTTCGATGGATAAAATAATGAGAAAAAAATCATTTGGCAAATGTCTATTTAAATTAATGTGAAAATCAAATGGAATAAAACAAACAAAATACCGTCGAGTTTCGAATTTGGCTTTGATCCTATCATGTCCCTACGCTCATACGAAATTCCACTCCAACATAAAATCTTTTTCATAAATCGAAATAAAAATGCAGTTTTATAATACCAAAAATCTGTACAAATCTCCAACCATAACTCAATCATACGCTCAGATCTGTTCAATTTCCGGGGAAAACTTCACATCAGCAACCTTGTCGAAGCATCATCTTGTTATTTATCTCTTATTCGGGATCTGTAACCCAAGACTCTTCACGGTTCCAACTCGGTTCCAAAACTCCAAACTCAATTATGCAAATTAAAGAAACTCTAAACAAATTTGTTCGCCTGTCGTCATCTTTTCGAGTGTCGTCCGTTGTTTAATGATTTCATATTGGTCAACTCGGTCCATAACTTTGGGTGGTGTATAAAATATCTAAAGAGATGGGCCACATGTCATGCAATGCCATGGCATGCTTTGGGTTGCGATGCTTTATCTACAAGATATAAATTAGTCAGGCGACAGGTGTGGGCATCTGTGAAGCTTGTTGGGCAACAGAAGACAGAATGTTGGGTAGGGGAAAAAAACTTGATAGTTTTTCCCAGCATGAGAAGGAGAAGCGAGCAGTGTGTGTGTGTGGGGTGTGGGGAGAACAAATTTGTTTTAGTTTTTAATGCACAATGACAGACAGGCCAAGATGGACAGACAGACAACCAAAACCTGATGATGAGGATGATGATAGCATTCCCCAACCACCATTTTGTTGTGTGTTTCGTTGATAAGTCACGTCTCTCATGTCGTCGCATATTTGTCACAGAGTTGAACCTAATTGGAGTGGGTGCAGATACGCGCCAAACACCAGATACACATATACTCGTACATTTACATTCGTACATTCGGACATTAGTTTGGCCAATTAAATTCGACTTGAACTTATTTAAAACTATTATCCGAGCACCAAGCTCAAAGCGAAACCGCAGCGCAACGAACGAACATGCCCATAATCAGTTCAAACAAATCAACTTTCCCAAACGGACCAAACGAAACCGCCGAAACCACCGCCATTCCATGCAAACCACCAAAATGCAACCACTTGGCCAGGGCATTACCATAGCTAAATATCCACCGCAAATGCATGAAAATCATGGACATAGAGAAGGGGTGAAGTGAGGAGTGGAGGGTTGGGGCTCTCTGGAGATGCAGGTGTGTGTAATGTGGTGGAATTATTCACATCAGAAACTGCTGGACTGCTGGATCTCTCATTGGAATGGCTCGAAAGGGGCTTGGCCCCAGTCTAAGCGCAGATGTTTTTGGGGTCCAGCCAGCCAAACAAATATTGATGGGGGGTTATATTCGATTGAAACTGGCTAATTTTTAACATTAAAAGAAGACTTTGTACTGAAGAGACTGGCGCTCTTCCCTGTTCTCTAACGGTTCAACAAAATGTTATGGGAAATTGCTTGCGAAACGTAGGCTTTCTTATTTTTAGTCCGCAAATCAAACGCTTCGAAAGGTGTTTGGAAAATTAAATATATCAGAAATCAAGCTGAACGCCATGGACTACAGTTGCTGTATTTGCCAGCACGTCTGTCAAATTTTTACTCGTAAATATATTTTTGGGTAAAACCCTCTCATACCCATATGACTCTTCAAAGATCTCTAAGACAAAAGACACAGCTGTGGTGCCCACATTTCCCGGAAAGTGCTACGACAATTCTCTCACACCTTTGACACTTTTCTTTAGCGCCCATCCCAAAACGGAAGTGCTTTGGGGGCAAACAGTACTTGCACAACCTTACTTAACTCCATTTACTAATGCAGTTCACATCTCATTCACACTACGTGGGGATCCCCCCACTCCCCTCCCCTATAAGAGAGGTTGAGTCAGCTGTGTGCGATCCAAGCACTTGGACAAACATTGCACCACAGACACCGCCCCGAAGGCGTCTAAATATAAAAGACAAAAGGCGGTACAGAGAGAGAGAGAGCTGGAATATGAGAAGGCGAAAGAGTAAGAGAGGAGGCAGTGTGCCCTGCTGCTCGGACGGACACGCTCTTCGGAGATCGCTCGGATGAGTGTCTAATGCGTAACGTGTGACAGTCGCCTGTCATCCAGGGGTGTCTCCCTCTCTCTCTCTCTCTCTCTGTCGACTCTCTGTTGTTGGCTCTCTTTCTAGCTTACACTCTCACTTGACATGTTTGGTCGCCTGTCACTTGTGTTCGTTGCTGTACTTCTTAACCCCTGGCTGTCATGGAAATGCGTAGGTGGAAATGGATGCACTGCACATGCACATGCACATGTGAGCTAATCTCTAAGTGGAAATCTTTCTTCTACTTTTTTCCCCCTCCTGTTTGCTGTTGAAAATATTAAAAAGCAATTTCAATTCCTTTGGCATTGTTTAGGTTTTTAATTAACCTCGCTTCTGCTCCCCCTCTGGCTCGGGTCGACTGGTTCTCCCTGTACTCTCATCTCCATCTCTTACATTTATCCGCTCTGTTCTCTGCTCTGGCCCCCCACTTGAGTGTCCACTTGAGGTAAACTCTTGCTCAGCGAGATAGCAGTAGAAGAAAATTTCCTCCTCCTCCACCTCCCTCTCATCTGCTTTCGCTTTATTTTTAAATATTTGCTGTAGTTTTTCCCAACAGAACTTGACACACGTACAGTCACTAATTACTCTATACTTGAACTAGATTTTTTTTCCCCTGCCACTGGAGGAGAGCAGATCCGAGCGCAGCGCTAAGGAATGCGCTATCTCTGTCTGTCTTTTTGTTGCTTGAGCTTGGAGGATGGATGACAGCTTTGGGTTGAGAGCAAGACCTTGCCTTAGATTTCAATTGGAATGCAATGAAAGGACATTAAGAAGAAGCCGAACTTAGAGTTAATTAGAGAGCGCACAAATAACTACAGAGAGTGGAAATACAATGAAAATCAGTAGAAAGAAAGCAGGTGAAAGGTAAAGGTAATGAAAAGAACTAATAAATGCCATTTGAGAAAGGAATTTCAATTAACTACAAGATTGAATGGATCAGAAATTCCCATAAAATAATGCCAACTCCACTTAATAAAATTGACAAGAAATATTGTAAAGCATTTTCATTTTGAGCTCTATTCAATTTGAAAGACTGTGTTCATACACTTTTCCATTACCTAATTATCTTCAACATTATTAACCATTTTCCTTACTCGATCATCATCATGTTTACGTCTTACATGCGGCCCTTCCCTTCGTTTGATTGTTTAAACAATTGCCTTGGTGGGCCCCACTTCAAACTGTTTCAATATTGTAGTTTTCGATTTGAGTTCCACTTTAAATAGACACACGCTCCCCCCACAAGAAACACGAAAGAAAAAAACAGAAAACAAACAGAACCAACAGCACAACATCGAGAATTACTGTTAACAAACGGCCACAGCAACAATAACAACAACAAAAGACGAAAGGCTGTGACGCGTCAATATTTGTACATGCATTGCATTTTCACGCCGAATAATTAGACAACGAAATAACACCAGAAACAATCAACAATCAGGCCCACAACAAAACCACCGAAGCCGCCGCCGCCGCCAACTTCAATTAAAATTCAATGCAGCCAACATTCTGTGGAACAACAACAAAAAACCATCGAATGCAATAGCCAACAACAGTTTGAACATTTCAAAGCAAACTACAACAAAAACTCTATAATTAGATGCCAAAATACCTTTATAGTAAATTTATGCTAATTGCGATTTGAGGGTTGGGTTTGTGTCATAGTAGAACGTTACCCGAAAGCGATTGAACTTTGGAGACCTGCCTGGCATTATCAAAATGCATCTGCTGTGACCCATTTGAAATTGACCATAAAGATGAGGAAGTGCCAGGGGGGCGGGGAAGCAAAGGGAAAAGGCTGTCAAACAGTTTGACACCTTAAATGGTTTCAAAGAACTGAACATTTTTCGTTGCACTAAAATTATAATTAATAGTTTGAAGAGGTACACAAAGATGGTAGTGCTTGAGGTTGCCGCCACTTACAAGAAATAGCCAAAAAATATTTAGAAATAAATTGGAAGATAATATCGTGTCAAGAAAGAACAAAATGTACCTGATATCTATCCATGAACATTCATTTAAGCAACATCCTATGCTTATAGACATTCCTTACCCCACGGTTGTATGCAAATTCTTTGTGATAACATCAATTAATTAGTTTGCTGCGTAAATACCCAACATACCTCATTCGAATTGCAACCCCTTCAACCAAATCAATTCCACGATAGACCCCCCCGCCCAATGCCAAAGAATGTAACCCCACACTCACCTTTTTCGAGCCAAATAATTGCAATAAATATGAGTGCATATATCGTGCTGCTGCCTTGAAGTGCTGTTACAAGTACCTCTCTAAATATATTCTCAAGAGTTTCAATTAATCCTTCATTATGATTTTAGTCGATTTCAGTTGATTGGACTTTTGTGTGTGCGTGTGATTGATCAAAATTAATTGAAAATTCCTTGAATTTACAAGCTGACACACGCACAGTAATATTGGGGTGGGTGGGCAGATGTCCCACACTACGGCCTTCACTTATTGAATTCGTTAGCACTTTGGTCACACTTTTCGCACTGCTTTTCCCCCAGATTTCAATGGAAATGGAGGAATTCCTTGGGCCATAAACGGATAGACGACAGTCGTAACGGTTATCAATCAATGAAATTAGAGGGCCCGTAACGGAATTACACACACTCGCGAACACAGCATACGGTTGTTGGGATTATTTCGTGGTCCTAGCAATGCTTTTCGTTTATGCTTTCCTCTGGCAATGCTTCTCTGTTTTAATATTTATTTTATTTGAGTTTCCAAACACTTTCTTAATATGTTTTATTCGATAAATTTTACTCCTTGTAAAGGCCTTTACATTGGGAACTTTTACGTAAATTCTCTCACCCAAATGCAGCGGAAAACGCGAGCTTTGGGAGTACCGCACGCTACGAGAGTATCTTTGAAACTGTCGGATGCGGACTCTGCTCAACGATCCAATGCCCCATGCCCCACGGTACCAGGTTATAGATAGGTTTACTGTATAAAAACACCCTGCGATATACCCGATGCCACATGCGAGTGCGTGCTCGGTTTTCGCTTCGGCTTCGCTTGCCGTCGGTTTATAGCGTTGTCTGGACTCTCGTGCGAGTTGTTGCAAATATCGCATGCGAGAAGCACTGTTGTATTGTATGAGGGAGAGAGAGAGCGCGTTGTTGTACGCGATATTTCTCTTGAGAGAAGGGAGCGAGCGCGTCAAAAGCCGGTTCCTAGTGTGTGGGAATTTTCATATAACTATGGGAATTTTCACTCTTTTGTTGGCAATGTTAATTTAAAATATATAATTTTTTAGCCAAAAACCGAATTACAAGCATTATTATGCGATTTTTCTTAATATTTTTCCATGTTTTTTTTTGTACTAAATACAATTTAAATTTGATTTACTTGCCGTCTACTTATTTCCTTAAGACTTGCTATAAATTTCATTCGTCTAGCGTCGTCTTTATAGCAACTCTCTCTCTCTCTGCGTATTTAGCTCTTATTCTGTTTTGGTGCTCGCTCTCGTCAACAGCTGTTTTTTGTTTATTTCGAATAAATCCACTGACGCTGTGTATGCATCTGTGTGTGCGTCTGATAAGCACGTGTATTTTTTCCCATACTAAAGAGAGTTTTATGCGGCCACAGGTAGCGGTAATGTAAATGTTAAATGAACTGAATGTTAACATACAAGTTAGCAGGACCAGAGCTCTCAGGAGAGTTTTGAAGCTGATTTCCCCCGCTTGTCGAGTGACATATTTAAAGTTTTCCGTTTCATTTCCTTTTTCCACCTGAGATATGATTTTGGCAACGAACCAACTAATTGGCAGAGCATCCAATTAGCTCGAAAAGAAATTCCCGTACATATGCATGTCCAATACCCTAAATATATAGGGTATATTGTATTCGGGTAGAAGGAAAGCTACACTTGATCAGTATCAATATCCAGGAGCATCTAGATCTTTGCATCGAATGAAGAGATTATAATCATCAGAGAAAAAATTTCATTTAACACGTGTAAAGGGTATCTTTCTGTTGTATCTTTTCCTTTTTTTTTTCTGATTAGTGTGCTGCCACGCCCCGTTGACCAAATCAAATGGCACACAGAATTGCTGAAATCTGCGGCGCAATCAATTAAAAATATTTCAAAATTCATACAAAATATTCTCGTCATAGGAGGCGCCACTAACAAAAATATTAAAAACTTTATGCGGGTACTACGGTGGTGGGGGGAGTGTCTGTTTCTCCTCTCTGGAAAAATCAGCAAATGTGTCACCAAAAATGAACGAGCAAAAAAACTGCACGGGAATTCTGCTTGATGTAGAAAGAAACGCATTAATTTGGCTCGTTATGATTATTGCCACGCCACGCCATGCCACGCCCCTCTGTGTCTCTGCCTCGCTGCCGCAGACCCAGACCCAGACCCAGACGCAACCCATGCCCCTAGACCCAACCTCCCCCACCACAACCCATGTGCCCATTCCACTCGCTGCCTGATCTGCTGACTGGAGGAGAACCAGTGGAAGCCATGGGTCCAAGTGGAGCATATGGAAATGCCTTGAGTAATATGTCTGGAGTGTTGTGCACAAACCAAACTCTGACCCCGCAACCGTCTGTCGTTCCCTGTAGTATGTGCTCCCCTTTCCCCCAAGCTCTTCAGAGCCCCCATTCCCCCACTCTGCTGAATGAAGAGGCCACCGCCAAAGGCGCACGTTAAGCGAATCGTGCACACGCCCCATGACGATGATTAATTACCTTTTTGGATGCCTTCTGCCTTGTTGTTGCTGTTGTTTTTGGATGTATCTTTGTATCTGGTATCTTGTGCACATTTCACTTATGCACGCCTCACGCTTTGGTGGATCACTGGAGAGTCAGAGGGGAGTGTGCAAAGGGGCTGTGACTAGGGAACCCGCTTTAGGGGGTTCGTTTCCCGCTGATGAAGTTGTATTATTTATCGTAAAATGATTTCTGTTTTCGCACTTTTTGTCCCGTTGATTCTTGTTCGTATTTTTTCGTATTCTTCTGCTGGAAGAAAGTGGCACAATAAAAGTGGAGAATATTTGGAAGACTGGATGATTGCATTATCTATCTTATCCAATAATTTTATCTACCTTTTCTGGAACCATATCTTCCACATTAATTCCATTCCCAATGATCTATACGGAATTGGTTAGCGCTCCATAACTTCATGAAATTCTTTGGGACTCTTCAACACAAACCTTATCAATAATTTACAATTTATAACTATTGGCAGTTTACTTAAGGACACAAAAATATTCCCTACTGCTTGAAAATTCACTGAGACACATATGTACATATATATGTATGTACATATATCAAGTGTCCTAATCGAGGACTACTCGAACAAATCGATAGAGGAATAGGGCAACCCCCTCGCACATACTCTCCTAGATGGTTCGGAACGGTAAAATGTGGATTGGGGAGGAGAGGACTACATTTCACAGAAATTTGAAACCGCGCAAACAGTCAATGAACCAAAACAGAAAGAAAACAAAAGGGGCCACCACAGCGATAGAAGGGAGAAAGGAAACAAAAAAAGAAAAAAAAAATATACTAAAACAAAAAGTAGAAAGAAACGAAAGGGAAAGAAAAATATAAAAATGTACAACAATTTGACATCTGTTTCAACAAAATTCGTGGCCCAAGGAAGGAGTTTCCCCATTCCAACAATCCACATTTGGTGGCACCGAAAGGAGTAAGCCAAAGGAGGATGTCACGTAGATTGACTTGTTCAACAAAGCAGACAAAAGGAACTCTTAACTTCTAAACAGAACGAAAAGACTTCGCCCAAGTAGAGAGCAGAGAACCAACCAACCAGCGACTCCTCAAAAGTTACTTCAAAATTCGTCTGACAAATGCCAAGGGTTAATGATTTCTTTTTTTTTACCCCAAATGTTCTGTTCGGTTCCATGCTATTGGAAATGGAGTTGGAGTTGTGTTAATTATCATCTCCCTCTCCCCCACGAGAGAACGGGAGTTTTAACGCTTCATTAGAGAAAAAAAACAAAGACCAGAAAGACCAGGCGACACGCTCAGACCTGATTGAAGAACAGCCGCAGACGAGAAGGGTGAAAGCGATACACAACAGAGCGAGCGGTCTGTCGTGGAGTGAGTGAAGTTTTAAACACATTTAGTGAAAAATTTGTAGTGAAAGAAAATATCAAATTACCAAATACGGGAGTTGCGCCTGGCAGTGTTTAGGGGCATGGATATTCTAGAGCAAAAGGGATTGAAAGAGAACATGAATTAGGCATTCAATTAGTCAGAATTTGAACATGGGTTCCAGAGCTAGGAAAGATAGGAGAGCCTTTAAAGCCAAGTCTTAAATTTTAAAGAATTGTTTGTAGGAAATTCAACGATTACGATTCCAGCTGAATATCGGTCAACATATTCCATTCCCATATTTTTCATTTCTCTTTGGTTGTTCCCAGAAATCCTTTCATTAATTAAGTGTATTGTTTAAACTCTTTTGAAATAATTACTATATTTCAGCAGAAGATCTCAAAGGAAAGATCATTAATATATATTTTATGCATGCAACCAACAAATTTGAGTAATGATTTTTCAACATGCCCTGGCAGTCGAATGCTTAGTCGCATGATACATATACATAATATATATAGCCCACTAATTGTCAGAGCACAGCTATGCTGCCCTTAATATGCACTTACAAAATTATGAGAAATTATTCATTTATATTAATTTACTCGGTGAAGAAAAAAAGATAACGCACAGACAGCAGCAGCAGCCCCAAGGTTCGGTTTGGCATGTGGAAAATGATTGATGGATGGATGGATGGGATCTCTCCAGAACGAGCATTGTCTGCCCATGAGTCATACGCGTAAGAGAAGCTTATAAATACGCGAGCATGTACAGTATAACACATTCAAGAGTGACTCATAATAATCGAAAATCCGAAATCAAAATCGAAATTGGAATCAGTATTGGGGTCGTAAAAATTACAATTGACAGGAAGAAGTCAGACAAGACAGACACACAGCTGGCTGAAGGACGGGTGTGGGGGTATTCATGTTCTTCTTCTTTTTAGTTTTATTGCTTTGAAAACAATATTCTGTCTCAAAGGGAATCAACCGCTAGGGTAGCGCCACATAAACCATAAAAAAAATGCATAATCTACGACCACTTGACACGCATTAAACCGAAACAACAACCACAAAAAGTGCCGACATCGGCGGCGGCGGTGGAATCTAAACAATTTCTTTTTTAATGATCCATATTTTGAATGTATCAAAACGATCTTGCCAAAGCAGCTGTCATAGGCCCCCGTCCAGTCGATCATCGGTTATCATTTGTCCAGATAACACGCACAGGAGCAGGCCCGGCTCCAAAAGCCTCTTTCGATTCAAATACAAAAAAAAAAACATAACAAGTGAAACTGAAACCGAAACCGAAACTCGACGAAAACTGGCTGGGGCTTCCGTCACACGACTCACTTAAATCATAAAACAACAAAAACAAACATAAAATTGTAAAAAGTTTGTTTCACCCAAAAAAAGTCAAAGAAAAAAGACAGGGTCATGTTTCGACTAAGGGATACCCGTTGATCAGATTTACTTATGACTAAAAAATGTACCCATTTACGGCAAGAGCAGAACCTGGTCGTTCGTGGCATATGTACATATTCCTCTTCTACATAAAACTCAAATACAGTAAACCTACATGTAAACACATGTACTCCATAAAAAACAGAGGTAACCGTGTGACAAGTAGAGCCTGAAACATTGTCAAAATCACGCGCCTGATGGAACACTTTTTTCCCCCAGCTGTGTGTGCTGGACTTGTAAATTTATTCGTCATATTCCATTCATTCGGCATTTCTCACATGTTCTACGTGTTTCAGTGCGTTCTTCTCTATCATTCGTATCATATAATGGATATTATCAACTTTTTCATGAACCTTGAACCAATGCAAGGCATTGCAGCAACAATAGAAAGAAAGAGTATTCATTTCATTCACATGTTCATTTTTTATTTCATGCTACTCTTTGGCGAAACATGAAATTATTGGGTACAATTTCCTGCTAGTCAGTGTTTTTTCCCCGTTTTTTTTGAATCTCCATCTCCTACGAAAGAAAAAAATTGGACATTTCGGGACATGCACGTGGAGCATGAAGCCCCACGTCCGTCCGTCCGTCCGTCCATCCCATCCGTTCAACCCGTTTCCATCATCAACATTCAGTCCTGTCGTTGGTGCACACAATGGACGCCTCATGATTAAAGGATGTTTATTAAATATTCATGTAAATGTCAATTTAAAGCTACTGTTATGGGCCTCTCTCTCTCTATACCCCCCGTTTACTACTCTCTTCCCTTGGATATCGCCCACTATATCTGCCCTTACCCCACCGTACCCCTTTGATTGGACAGACCAGTGGAGTGTCAATGTTGGCGGGGTTTTTTTCTTGTTGTATTATTATTGATATAGCGCGTGGATTCCACAATTGAAAGGTTTCCCTTTGCCCCTTCTCCTCTTTGAACTCTGCCGCCCTTGGTGCGTGACAGAGGAGTAGAGTAGTAGGTGTGGTGAGGGGTCGACAGGAAGGAGGGTTGAATATTGGGGGGTATGAGGGGTTGTGGAACTGGAATAAATAACAATAGATTTATTGCAAACAATACATGAAATGCATTCAAATGGAATGAAATGTGAGTTTTGTTTGGTATTTGATTTTTCTTTTGTGTCTTTGGAAATTTGCATTTATTTAAGCGCCCCCCACCCACTTCCCCTCCCCAATGATCTATAAGGTTAAAGTTTAGTTCTATGAAACTTAATGACTAATAAATACCATGATTAATTCTCCAACACTAAAAAAGAAAATAAAATACCAGAAACCTTTTGCAACACTGATGCTTTCATTTTGAAAAGTATGGCAGCCCCTTTTTCTACTTTCGTTTTACTTTCTTCGAGAAGACAGGCAACCCTCCTCCTTTCCTTTCATTTGACGTGTCACTCGACGAAATTAATTTTTTTTCCTGCTAAAAAGAAATTAAATTCAAATCGAAAAAAGGGAAACAAAACGTTTGAGTAAATTGTGTGAATAGAACAAACAGAATGTCTCGTTATAAATCTACTCTACAATCCGAAGATCCCGATGAAATTGGAGGACGTCCTTCTGACGCTGCAACAACCACATTCAATATGGACGATTGGCGGAAGATATTTCATGAGGAGCCATCCCCCATCGGGATCGTTCCCGAGGAACGTGTCCACATCGAGCATGACCTGCAGACATTTATGGAGACGCTCGATGCTGCAGATGGTGCGGATACTTTTGACGACGTCCAGGAGCTGCAGGTTCTTATCAAGACTGAAACGATTGACGATGATGGGGAAAAAGCCATTGGAAGCAGCAAGATGAAAAAGAAGTCGAAAAAGAAGGCAGCTGGACAGCTGCACCAGAAGAAGCCAGCAGGAACGCTGCAGCAAAAGCCAAAAGTGAAGAAACGGATTCTACGCCGTCGACTCGAGGAATTCTCGTTTGTGCAAAAACTTTATCTGGCCACCAACAGTCCCAGCATTGACTTTGTCAACTGGTCGAAGAGGGGCAAGCATCTGATTGTGCAATATATGGCGCTGCAGGAACATTTGACCGGCCCTCGTTCCATTTTCCGTTGTCGCAGTGTCCTCCAGTTCGCGGAGGAGCTCTCGCACCATGGCTTTATGCGTGTGCTCGACTACGACTTGAAGGATCCGGCCAAGGGCACCATAGTTCTGGTCTTTCAGCACCCCAACTTTGTGATGGGCATGCCGCAAAAGCTCCGTCAGATAAGCAACCTTAACATTCAAGAGGATCAGGAGAATGAGCTGCTGCAGAAGCAAAATGGCAAGGACATCTGCGCCGCCTTTCACTCGTACCTCTCGCCCCTGCAGGCGGCACGCTGCCGCCTACACACGGAGCTGAGCTACCATTTCGACATGGCGCTGCTCCAGGAATACGCCAATGCGTCCAACAAGCCGGTGGCCAAGCGAGCCGGTCGTCCCGCACAAATCGTGGAGACAACCGTGGAGCAACAGCTCGTGGGCAAGACGGACAAATTTGTGAATCCGTACGAATCGGTGGCCAAGATACTCACGAAGCAGGTGCCCTCGTATGCCGGCTACTATGGCAACGTGGCGCTACCGAAGCTGCAGGACTTCTTTCAGGAGTACATGCCCCGCTATGGCATCAAGATCAGCGGCTACAAGCAGATCGTGATTGATGGCCACAACAAGTCGAGCGACTTCAATCAGAATCTACCGATTGGCATCGACTACTCCGACGAGGAGAACGATGATCCAGCCAAGAAGGAGACCTTTGATCTGGAGCAGGTTATGCAGCAGCTGTGCGGCGAAGATGGCGAAGGCATCGCCAGCAACACCCCCAACAGCAGCAGTACAAGCAGCAGCACATTCAAGCCCAAGGAAAAACCAAATCCGAAGCCGAACAAGTCCAAGCAAAAATCAAAGCCAACCTCGAAATTGACCGCGCTCCTGGAGTCCAGCTCCACCTCCAGTTCCAGTTCTAGTGATGACGATGATGAGCTGGATGAAGATTCCGCCGCGCTGGAGATAGTGCTGAATGAGAACAACGGCACCTACAAGTTTATAAAGAAAACTAAAGCACAAGAGAAGCTTTCCAAGGTGACTGCAGAGCAGAAAGGGTCAAAGAAACGCCAGAATGCAGATGATCAGGAAAAGGGAAAGGAACCCTTGACCAAGAAGTCAAAGAAGCTGCAAACAGCAGACGAGCTCGTGGTCATGCCCGACGATAATGAAGAAACTTTGGAGGAAACAGTGCAGAAGAATTTGAAGCCTTTCCTTCAGAATGGGGGGGACGAGGAGGACGGGCTCATGGATTTCGCTGGCGATGACGACGATGAGGAGTACATCGACCAGAAGGTGCTGCGCCGCACAGCCACACTATCGGCGGCCAAACGCCGCAGCTACGATTTGCGCAAAGCCAAGCTTAGCTCCAAAAATAAATAATAAATAAAATAGAAACAAATAATAAAATAAAATAATAGTAAAATAAAACTGGCTTTCAAAGCTAACAAAAATGAATCAGGAATAAAAAAATTAAATTAAATATTGAATCACTTACGAAAAAACTCGTTCATTCTACTAGTAGGGATATATGAGTTTCTTCAACTTTCCCTCATCCAAACTCTTTACAATAGTTGTAAAATATCTACATAAGTTCTCGACCAGCCTCTCAGCTGTTATCTATTCTCTTCTAACCACACAACACCTCTCACCGTCTCTGTGGTCATCAGCATATGGCAGACCATTATCCATTATTTGAAATATTTCTTTAGGGGGGCCATAACTTTGGGCATATGGTCAGAGAAGGCACAAGCACAAGCAGGCAATTAAAGCCGCTTATCGACTTTTGATCTCTCACGCCCTCAGTGCCCCATTACGAGGGGCCAATCAAAAGTGTAATATCATCTGGAAATATCTTACCAATTCGAAACGAAACAAGCACAGCACAGCACCCACTCTCGGACACCGAATAGGGAGAGGGAGAGGGAGACTAAAGGCAAAGCCAATACCCAGACAGGGGCACAATCAGTCGGATGTTTACAAGTTTTATGAGCCACCAAATAACAAGATGAACAACAGGCGGCAGAAGCAGGCAACATGCAACAGGCCAGCCAACCAGCCAGACAGAAGAGGCAACCGAAAAACCGAAGCCCCAACGAGACCCAGAGGCCAATCGAGAGTTGATTTCAAAGGGATTTCGTTTAGAGATTCGCAACAAGAATTATTCCTTTTTTTTTTTTTTTTTTATTTTTTTTTTTGCACTTATCACAGCGTGAGGCGAGACACGATTTTTATCGTCTTTAATTTGCTTTTTATTTGATATCATATTTCAGGGACAGAGGCAGTATGTAGTATGTATGTACCTCCAAGAACTTCAAGAGCGTTGAAAACAAAAGGCAGGAGGCACAAGCACTCCCTCTGCTGGCTCCCATCTGTGGCTGTATTTTCGGTTGGAGTAGAACCTTGACTCAAGACGTCATAATGCCATAAAAATGTCACATACTTTTAATAACTTTATGACAGCTACAAAATCATAAACAAAATGCTCTGACAGCATCAGCACACACGCCACACACTGGAGTGGAGAGGAGAGTATGGAGCAGCGTGTATGCTGCTTGCTGCGGTTGAGATCTTTTGGGAGTCATCATAATGAGATGTGTCATGTTTTGCCTTCTGAGAAATGTGTTTCTTGCTCTGCTCTCCGTTTCGTTTGTTTTTGGGCCGATTCGAGTAGGCGGCAGGCGGCAGGAGGACTGAGATGGCCCCGACCCCCAAAGAGCCTCAATTATGAACATGACAGGTCGATTATTAAATTTCATGTTCAAATTATGTCCTTTTAGGGGAATCTGAACTTGGGACGACATCGATTTTGGGTACCTACTAGGGTAGAAGGAATAGAGTGAGGTGAGTCAGAGATGTGCAGAATTATAGTTAATAAGTTGATGGGTTTGTGTTGGCATTAATCTATAGAGCTTTTTCATTGCCTTTCTGAGAAGTGTCGCAATGGATTTGGACTATTTTGGGGGTTTTTTTTGGGGGGTGCTGAAACCCTTCCCCCCCCCCCCCAGTATATATTTTTGATTTTTTATTTTGCCTTTCTGGGAGAAGTGTAAATGGATTTGGACTATTTTCACAGATTTTCTTTTTGGGCAGGGGGGGGAATGCTGAAATGTGAATCACATAGCTAACCAAATTTGGTTTCCTAGCTCTTTTGTGGCCAACATCAAGTAATAAAAAAGAGCTGTAAGACAGGGAATACTTTCCTGCATTAGTTTTCATGAGTTTCATTCCTGTAACTCTTTCGTCTCTCACGCACACATTCCAACTCTTTACCTTTATTATCTTTCACTCACCTCACATGAACACACACACACACAACACACACTTGGCCAAAAAGCCCGCAATCGGAGCTTTAGTTTCAACGCATAAATTCGCTTTGCCACAGAAATTATGGAACCAGAAATAAAGTCGAGACTTTTGCTGCATTATAATGAAGCCGCCAAATGCAAGACTGCGGGGATTGGTGGGCAAGAGAAGGAGACTGGAGAGCGGAGAGTTATTAAATGCCAAGTTATTTGTCGTTTAGCTGGAAATCCATGCAGGTCGGCGGCAGTACTTAAGCTTCGTTTTTTTTTTCTTTTCTTTTGGTTTGCTTTGGTTTTTCGTTTCGGTTTTGGTTTCTTGTGTTTTTGGAGACTTCTTTATGACTTTGAGTAGGAAATCTTTACGAGTTTCTCGGGTGAGACAAATTTATTGGCAAAGTATAAATGGTTTCTTTACTGTTCATTTCTGTCCGTTTCCCTTTTTATTTTCCCACTTTTTGTATACCCCCGTCCCATATTTTGTTTTGGCTTTAATATGAAGTCGTAAAAAGATTTTTAATGATGCATAGCGTTTGTAAAACTATTTACATATGCATCTACATATGTATGAATGTATGTAGGTATGCTTTATGGAGGCAAACTCCACTCAAACTCCAACAGCAAAGCCAAAAGACGTGGGGCGTGCTTTTCTTCAAGGTTTGGCAATTTGTCTTTTGATGGGAAAAATCTTACAGGCAAATGGAGTGTGTAGTTTTTTGGGGAGAGAGTGCCAGGGCAGAGAGAGAGAGAGAGGCACATTAATAGATAGAATTTTAATGGTCAAGAGACCAGTTTTACGTTTTTTGTAGTGCCGTTGGAGCAGCTTGTCTTTGCTGATTGGAAATAACTTTGATCTGACAGTGATTTCCGATGGAAAAACTGATGGGTAAATAAAAGAAAATGTGGCCTGGAGCTTGGAATATAATTCTAGAAGGAAAGGTGTGAGAGAGCTTTAACTCTTGGAAGAGGAACTGCATACCAGCGAGGGGTAATAGGTACGTTCATCCTTACAACATAAAACATGATGTGCGAATCTCATAAAAAGAGGCAATTAACACTCGAAATAGTTGTCCCTACAACAGTTTTCACCTGTGTTAACTATTTTGATACTGTTCCCAATGATCTGCGCAACTTTTCTAACCATCCAATGAACATTTGCATGGATCTTTTAGTATATAAATCATAATCCCTAACTTCTCTTTCAAATAAAAAGAAAATTCATTTCGGTAACTCTCGATTACCAGCAAATCGAAACTCAATTTGCCATTTCCCCCTGAGTAAATAATTTGTTGCGCATTTGTTAAAAACTTTATGCCTTATCTTTATGCTTATGCTTATGCTTTTGGCCAAATTTCAACTTTCTATAAACGCTTTGCTCTACAGCAGTACAGCAGATATGTATGTATATGGAACTGTGGCAAAATATTCCGAGCAATTTATTGTTCGAGTGGAGAAGTTGCTCCTATGAGTTTGGCGCGTGTCCTTGGGCTTTCCTTCTGTTTTTTTTTTTTTTTTTGTATTTTGTTGGGATGTGGGGAGTAGATTTTCTGGGAAGGTAGAGGAATTTTATGATTGCACAAATGCAAAATGCATAACAATCACAATTGCACAAAATATTTCGCCAGCAAATTGGGATTTATGTGTATGAGATATGGCCTCGTTCCTTGCGAAAACTTTTACCCCTAGAGGAGGAGGAGGAGGAGGAACAGAAGGAGGAGAAGCCTCTGCGTCCACCTTTCGAGAGTAGTAACCTAGTTTCAAATTGCTTTTTTATTTGCCCAATAGCTTTGGGGAATGCCACTCCAGATATGGTTATGGATATGGATGTTTCCTCCAAGTACTTTGTGCAACATTTGCCAAACTTTTGATGCTGCCACAACAGTTAGTACTGTTAGTAATACTCCTCGGTATAGGGTGTACAGTGACAGGCCCCGGGAGTGTTCGCACTTAGCCAGCGTAGATACTGACCGACTCTGGTGTAGACGCCGGGTGTATTGGGTCGGGCACAGCCCACGCCCCAGGACACGATACCCGCTAGCTGATACTGGCCCGGCATCTGGGCGAAGGTCACCTGAAGGGGTCCGCCGCTATCGCCGCCGCAGGCATCCTTCCCGCCCTCGTCCAGCTGTCCGGCACAGAGCATATTGTCCGTGATCTGTCCGGGTTTGTACGCAGTGGCGTTGCGGCAATCGCTTTGTGGGATTACAAGTACATCCACCTCCTAAAAAAAAGGCGGCTCAAAATCAATGAGAGTCTGTTGGTTCCCTCCCTTTATGTTACCTGCAACGTTTCACTGGCAAATCCTGCCTCTGTCTGTGCCCCCCAACCCGTGACAATGGCCAGCTCGTGATCAAAGCTGTGGCCCTTGAGGGGTAGGCAAATGGGTCTCAGGTGTAGGCCCACCACATCCACGGGTTCATTGAGACGCAGCAGGGCGATATCATGGTCGAAAGTGCGCGAATTGTACAGCTCATGGACCCTGACCTGCGAGACAGATCTCTGAACCAGAAGATCCACGTTCGGATGACTGCGATTGTGTTCGAGTAAGCGCAGGGAGAGCAGCTCCACGGGCACTCCCTCCACACAATGGGCTGCTGTTAGCACGTACAGATCATTGATCAGGGATCCCGCACAGTAGAAGCGTTCATGGATCAGCACGACGGCCATCCATGGATACTGATGGATCCGCGTCTCCTGTCCCCCCACGATCTTATGGAGTGTGTTGATCAGGCCACAGCGACACGTGCCGCATTCTCTTTCGATGGGAAAGTTGGCTACTGAGCTGGTGAAAGTGCTGCTACTCGTAGTAGGGATGGTGGTTCTGCTCGTTGTGGTTCTGCTAGTTGTAGTCGTTACGGTGGTGGTGGTGGTGGCGGCAAAAATATCCCGATAAGCCACTCGAAAAAGTTACCCTGCTTTGGCAGGATGTGCCCTGCCTCCCGCGCAATCGTCCAGCCCACAAAGCAGCAGAAGATGATCCACTGTAGCTGCATCTTGCTTGGACTTGTGGCAACTAAACTCTCGGCCTCGAGTGATGATCCGTTTTAAGCAGAAATCCCACATATACTCGTCGTATATGCACATATGCCCCCACCTCCAATCTAATCTCGTTTTACACAGGCCTCTCCTTGTTCGGGCAACTTTTCTATTTGCCAAACACATTTTCCATGCTGTTGCACAAATGAATTCATGAAATGTTTGCCATCAAAGTGTAAAGGCCCCCCAGGCAGAGCCCCAACGTTAGAGTGGGTGGTGTGTGTGTGTGTGTGTGTGTGTGCGAAAGTAGGGGGAATATTTTTGGTGGGCTGGTGGTTGCCATTTTCATGAATCGGTAATTGATGGAATACAAGTAAAACAATTTAATGAGCTAACGAGTTTAAATTAATTTGAAAACTGAATTAAAGGGGATTTATACGGAAGGAAATTTTCGATTTTATGCCTCTTTGATCTGCATAGTGTTTTTCCTTTCCTTTATTACACATTCTTTCGTTTCCACATTTGCCTTCTTCCTTTGCCTTCTTTTTGCCCAAAGAACTCTCTCTAATTGACTTTATCAACTATTTAACGAAATATTATGCAAATCAAAGGCCCCAATAAGCTGCCCAATCAAGAGAGTTGACTTGACACTCAGCCAAATATGCCATCGCCTGCCTGCTCATAGTCTCTGCCCCAAACTGCTGCCAGGCATGTCATCTGCCTCTGTGGTGTAAGCTGGCACAATAATAATGTGTAATAGGCTTAGGCCTGAAATATTGACGCTTAGTGACCGCTTAGTGGAATGCCAAGATGACTAAGTAACATCATCTCTGTGGAAAACTCTTGTCGCCTTGCAGCCTCTGGAAAATTCTGTCCACCATTCTGTTACAAGTAATTAGAAGAGAGTGAGAGATTTGGGAGTGGGAGAGCTGGAGAGCTTGAGGGGCTCTGAAAATTAGTGAAAGCATTTTTATAACAATTTCCCCGTGTGTATGTATGTGTGTGTGTGTGTGTAAGCCGCTTACGAGGGAAGCATTTTCCGGGGAGTGGGTGCAAGGGCGATTCGACTTTGACTAATTGAATTTTTTTTTGGGGTATATCCATTCGAGCAGAACTGTACAGTGAATAAACCCCCTTAGCCCCCCTTTCCACCCTTTTCGCCTTCGTTAGCACACGACTTCAATGTCCATTGCCACGCCCACATTTGGACATAAGTTTCATGCTTCAACGCCCAAATCGTAGCATTTCCTCAGTTCCATTTTATGGACTCCAGAACAAAACTTGATGAGCGCTCTCAAAGCGAGGGATGCAGTTGCAGTGTTGCAGTGTGCTGGGGCATGGTAGTAGCGGCCCAGTAAATTGTCCAATTATAAAACTGCGTAGGCCAGGTAGCAGCCATTCGGAGCGGCCCAACCAGTAGCCAAGAGTCGTCGCGGAGAGCAACTTGAGGGAACTCTCCATGTTCCCTGTCACTCTTGATATTCTCCTCCGCTTAATTGATATTTATGGAAATGGGATTTCTGTCCGGGAAAAGTGGAGCATGTGGGGAGATTTACAAGCCACAACATTGAACTTCATTCGGCGACGGCTCATTAGAGAGTGGGGCAGAGACAAACACAAGAGAAAGAGAGACTGGGCTGGATTGTGGACTGCATTCAAAGTTTTGTCAAGAAGTGAAACAAAAAGCAAATTGCGAAAAGCCTGAAAAAATAATCCACTGACCCACAGCTGCAGGCAGAAGCCGGGAACCCCTGGAACTGGAGCTGCAACTGGAGAAGCTTTTGTCTAAGAAATATCGCTTAATTGTGGCCAAAGCAATAAACATGTCCAAAGTGGGGCAAAAGTTTTGGTTATCCACAAGTTTTGTTTTGCTGTTTTGTGGCATGTGCTGCAGCAGCCACAAAAGAAAACCAATTAAAATGCTTCAGAATAAAGAAATCGTACATTCGAGGATGAACAAAGAACTGGACTGGGCCCTGGACTTTCTAGTGGATAGAAGACTTACAAATCGAGTGAGAAACTTGCAATTTCCTTAGACAATATTTAAAGATAAAAATAGTATAATTTATAATCATTTCATTGTTTATTTTCCTCTTGCTTAATATATATTATTTTATAGAATGTATCTTTATCTTCTGCGAATGTTTTGCCCCGCTGCGTAGGTTGCCACGCCCGAAAATATGTGTCTGGGTGTTGGGTAGGGGGGAAATACAAATATTTATGCATATATAAAATATCTTGACTTGCAGCATACCCAAAGCCACTACTTAGTTGTTCGACATGAGCTCTTGGCTGCTATCCTGACAGCATCGGGCTTTAAAATACAACTTACAAAACACCAGGCAAACATTCCGTCAGCGTAGAGAGATGGGGTGGGGAGGGGATTGGGGATGCTGATGGAGATGGAGAGCTGTGGAGAGACAGAGGCAACCGCAGCATTTGCAACAACTTTTAATTAAAAGCAACATTTTCACAGGCCACGGAACAAGCTTATTAACAGTTACGTTACCCAGAGAGTCCGTTCCTTCTATACTCTTTGTCCCCCCAAACTAAATCCCCGCTTCGGCGGAGCAACAAAAAAAAAAAAAACAACTGTCAATTGATAAACAAGTCAACTGTCACTTAGGCCCAACATTGATAGCGACAACGACGACGACGACTACGAGGAGGTGGAGCACGAGGACGAGGACGAGGACGTATCGTTAATCAGCCAAAGTGTCCGCAGAGGAGTCCAATCGAATCCTGCTGCGCCTCCACCCAGTGCCAGTGCCAGTGCCCAGCTTCAACTCCATCTGCCGCCCCAGTGCCGACTGCAAACTCCATCTCTACCGCCCCAGATCCCAACTGCAACTCCACTTGTTGCTGGCGGCTGATGGCGATAAGCCACGACACATGTCACAAGATTTTTTTTTTATTTTCAGCCGTTTTTCTGTTTTATTTTTACTGCTCGGATTTCTCATTTTATATGTTTTATTTCTTATTTTAATCAAAAGTGGAAATTAAACGCGGCTAATGAAGATTTTAATTGCGTGCAACATCGAAATGGAATTGCATGTGGGTTTTGTGGTTTCGCTCTCTGTCTGGCTCACATTATTTCTACATAGTACAGACATATGTGCATATATCTATATGTATATATTCATGCACTCGTACAACATTTATATATAGACTGCATGCTGCTTAGGATTTACATGATCAGCGTTTGTAGCAACACGCAATCGATGGTTCGATGGTTAGCTGGTTAGAGGCAAGGGAACAACTTTAACCAGGCTCCTTTCTGGCAAATAATCCACTTTTGTTTAAGCCGCTTATGACAGGTACACAGGGACAGTGGGCATAAGACATCGGTCCAGGCACAGTGGGCATCAGTCAGAGATTAGCTAAAAGAGAAGGGAAAATGCAGTGGGAACATTTTCTATGCTTCTGGCAAACGAAACGAAACTGAGAAGAGATATTGGTTTGGCATTTTCGTCAATTTGGGGGACTTTGGCTGGTATTATGGGGAATTAAAGCTACATAAAATATGACTACGAGACTAGGGAATACCCTATTATCTTTTTGTACCTAGCTTTATCTGTAAGTTAAACGTTCTCGCACCTCTCTAGCCCTTCCATGGTAACCATCAATTCTCATATACCCCTTCTGCATATAGACAGAAGTCCATGGCTATCATCAAACAGTTAAAGAGCAATTGATTGCTCAGACAATAGAGGCACGGACACACAAAATCCTTTGTCATTCAACCAATTTACATAGAGCAGCACGTCGCTCCACCTACACTTCCTGCTCCAAGCCCAAAACAAAAGAAAGATAGAAAGAAAAAAAAAACGAAAACGAATGAAAATGTGAAAAATGTCACGCTTCATTTGCTTTAGCAGTTCAAACGGACACCTGGCCAAAGCCAAACCAGAAAAAAAAAAGAGAAATGGAAATGGAAAAAAAAGAGGAGAGAGAGGAAAAGAGTCTACTACATGGCCCACAAATTCCATGAAAGACATGAAAAACAAATTGAATCGGACAGATCGATTAGGCATACAAATGCGCAATTAGAAGTGGAAAAGTGTACCATTTTTTTCTATCTATATCATCTCTCTATATGGATATATGTATACGAATAGATACTCAAGTGTCCGCTGTAGTACTATGTGGTTGAGTGGCTGCTACCCTTTGCCCAATTAGCCGTCACAAATGATTGTATAGATGACAGGAATCGGAAAAGGAACCGGAACAGGAACGTATACAGGAAGTGGATAGAACTAACGAGGCATATAAATATAAGGAAAGAGTGAGATAGAGCATGGCTAACTCTATTCCACTCCTCTTAGTGGCGGTATACATCTCGCCAATTGAATTCAATTTTGTGTGCCTTTTTTCGGGTTGTAATTTAAGCGCCATTCGGTTAACCAATGTCTGCCGCTGGCCACAAATTTCAATAATTACCGACAGTTTTGAATTATCCAATAAACAGTGGAATGAATGGATGGTGTGTGATGGCGAGTGGGACTGCCCCCGAAAAGTAGTTTAAGCAGGCATTTAATTATTATTTATGATTGTTTAGCGCAGTTGTACTCAAATTGATTTATGCGGTTTTATCGTGTCTGGTCAAGTTTATTAATTTGTTAAAGCCGGCAGCGATTTGACAGCGAGCAACACCCCAAAACACAGCACTCGATTGGCCTGCGGAGCCTCCCACATGCGCAGCCATGTACGATTCGATGCATGCATATACATACGTACACATTGATGTACATATGTGGGCCTCTGTCATGTCGCCTGCCCATAACAATTACATATTAATTAATAACAATTTTCTTTCTGGCACTTTCATGGTGGCGGAGGCGTCGGGTGTTGAGGCATGTTTAAATTATAATTAACATACGCTTATACGATTGCTGCCGAGATGAATAATCATGGGAGGTTTTTCTTACGGCAAGTGTCGAGAAATGAAATCGAAGGATGTGCGACGGAAGTGGTGGAAGTTTAAGGTCTCTACCCATTTCTTTAAAAGATTTCCCCTTTAAAATAATGGATTCCCAATAGTAATGACTTCAACTTAAATGATATAAGCCTACAAATCAAAACAGAATATTCTTCTAGTTCCAAACGAAACGGTTACAAACCGGTTATTGCATTGGAATTTGCCTTTCCACTCGTTCGATTCGATTGAAAGTCCCGCTCATCTTAATTTGGGTTAATTTAGCTTGCCCCAGCTCCGAAAATGGCAAACATTTCCTGCTTTCTATCTGCTTTCTCACATGTGCCCACTCTACCACCCCAACCCCTCGCTCTCACTCTTATCCAACGACAATGCAAAGGCTGAAAAAGCAAACTCAATGAGTGAGCAACGCCTGCGTGAAAAATGCAAATCAATTCAATTAAAAAAGAACAAGAGCAACAAGCGACAACAGCAACAACAAAGTGCAACAATGGCCAGGACGTAGAGGCACATGCCTCAATGCCACAGCCGCAAGGTAAAGAAACAACGATCTTCCCAGTGATGCATGGAAAAGAAAAGAAAACCTCCACAAAGGAAACAACACGCTCCATAAAGATCCCAGACAACCACCATCACATCTCCCTCCCTCTCTCTTTCTCTTTCACTACGTATACTCGTACAACACATGCCACAAAAGTGTTGCAGTTACAAGAATTTTAATCAAGCGTTTAACACTAAACGCGCCACAAGTTGCAGCAACGTGAGGCGAGACAGAGACGACGGTTGTGCGGCTGCGCAGACGCATAAACAATTTTCAAATTGTTGTTGCTGTTGCTGTGGCTGTGGCTGTTGTGTCTGCCCCAAAGCCTTTATTGGCATTGTGTTGCTGCCACAGCGACCGTTGTTGTTGCGTTGTGTTGCAGTGTTGCATAAATTAACTTGCCGCTTGTCTAGGCCCGGCAGCAACATCAACCTCTGTGCCCCGTCTCCTGGCTGAGGCATGCCTGCGTGCCCAGCTTTGGTGGATTGGGGTCTCGGATTGGGATTTTCTTTTTTCATTTCGGACAAATTTAAATTTGCATGACAGACGCACATTGATCATACTCGCATTGGTGAAGTTTGGTCGGGGAGGGGGGCATATGAGGGGATATATGGGAGTACATTCAACAAACGGATCTCCAACTGTGCGAAATGTTGTCTCGTAGACTCATTCCCAGTTGCACATTCGCCAAATGGTTTGAGAGTAAAATTTATATTAAAATTAAAATTTATATTTCTCTATTAAATTCTTTATAATATCCAACCATTACGAATATCGGAGTCGTAGTCACAGTCCATTAAATTTTTAAGCGAAATTTAAATGGAGAACCAGCCTGTTTCTTTCGGTTTCAATGCGGTTTTTCTATTCAATTAACCAAACATGCGGCGCACTCAAAATGACATTTGCTTTTGTGGCAAGCACAATGTTTGTGCTTTGCTTTGGTACAAAAATGTAGGACAACTGGCGGTTCAAGTATCCGAGAGAAGAAAATGCGTGAAACTCCCATAAAAAATCAGTCAATAAATCACAACAAATTAACATAAATCTTGTTCTGTCGTCGCAAGGCTTTTTAGCTATGGATTGGGGATTGGGGATTTGTGGAGTTGAGGCAGCCCAACCTCCTCCCCCTTGGATATGGCTGCCACTCACTGGTGATGCTTCTGTTGCTGCTGCTGCTGCTGCTGCTGCTGCTGCTGATACTCCTCCTGATGTTGTTGATGATGATGTCGATCGTAAATCGTGAAAATTTTGACAAATACACAAAAGCTTCCACACACTCAAATGGGGCAATAAAAAATTAAAAAGTAAATATATTGAAGCGACGGCTGCCATCGTCAGGCCACAAAACTGAAGGAAAAACGAAATTTTTATTGCATCTTTAGCAGCAGCAAAAACGGAACACAAGCTACGGGGATAAACGTCTACGCTTCTTTACAACGAATTGGGAATACCCTTAGGTAGTTTGAGGCTTAAAAAAAAATTATAAAATCTAATGGAAATATCTGTTTGTACTTTGATTTTTAAATACCCAATTAAAAAATGGCTTGAATTGGATTTAAAAAGATTCAAACTCTCGTAATCATCTTTCATTATTTGCACGCTTCATTTTTACGCACATTCATGGTATCCCAAATCTACAGGGTATCCTATTTGTGGCTGTACCAGCATCGAAATTCTAACAAAACAGATGCACAAATTCTCCGCGTCGCGCCGCAGACAACACACATACCCGTGGCTGACACAAATGGCACACAAAATGTATCTTTTAAAACGCAAAATGAGACCCATAAATGTGTGTGGCAGACAACAACAATGTGGAATAGAAGGAGGCGACCAAAGTGGAGTGTGGAGTGCAGCCAGCCCCAAAGGGAGGAGACCACCGCGCACATGTCTGCAAAGTGTTAATGTGAATTTATGATGCATTACGCGCCATCTCCACTGAAGAGAGAGAGAGAGAGAGAGCGAGAGAGAGATCTATCCTCCCGCTCCTCATCGTCTGGCTGAGTGCAGTTGGGGGATTATTCTGCGTCTTGGCTTCTATCTAGACAATTTTTCTAGTAGCGTAATGAAAAACAGATTTGGGCAAGTTTTTACGATTTTTCGGTAGTTTTAATGTAGGAAATTTGAAATGAA